CAATTTGACTCAACTTCGTGTTATGTCTAAAAGGAAGGGCGGAGATCAGTCGAGCGTTGTCTGATGGAAGAAATGTAGGAATGAACTCATGTCATTTTTATAACTAATTCTTATATTTACGCCAAAAGTACTAATTTTATGGTTTTATATCGCGTTTAATATTGATTGTGCAGGAGTGTACAAGTTTGATTGTGAATGTGGTTTGTCTTACATAGGACAAACAAAAATATCCATAAAAGCAGTGTAAAAACATATCAATGGAGCATATGTTAAATCATCAGCATTTACAAATTCATCATCATCATCTTTACAGCCTTTCATAAGTCCACTGCTGAACATAGGCCTCCCCCAAGGAATGCCACAAAGCACGATTCTGAGCCACCTGCATACATCGACTTCCTGCATGTCTTATCAGGTCGTCACTCCATCTCGTGGGGGGGTCGCCTACACTTCGCCTACCGGTACAGGGCCTGCCACTCGAGAACCTTTCTTCCCCATCGGTTGTCGGTTCTTCGAGCTATATGGCCGGCCCACTGCCACTTCAGCTTACTAATCCTTTGGGCTATGTCGGTTACTCTGGTTCTACTGCGTATATCCTCATTTCTAAGTTTATCACGCAGAGAAACCCCGAGCATAGCCCTCTCCGTAGCTCGCTGAGCGACCTTGAGCTTCCTCATACGGCCAGCAGTGAAAGACCATGTCTCAGATCCGTAAGTCATCACTGGCAACATGCACTGGTTGTAAAGTGCTGGAGAGCAATTCTAATTTCGCTCACACTTACGTCCGGAATATCTTCGGAATAGTGTCGGATAAGACTCGCTCTTGGATCGTTAATGACACTTGCGTGTGGCTCCAACAATGACGTATACAGCTGCCCATAGAACCTCTCAATCTCACTCAAAATCTCAGGTGTCCCGGAAACGATGCTGCCACACTAGGTCTTCAGCTTTGACAGTTGGCTCTTTCTGGCAGACAGATCTCTGGCAAAGACTGTGGAGCCTTGGTTTCGCTCGATCGCTTCTTCAATACAAGTTGTATTGAAGTTGCGTAAGTCCCGCCGCATGCATTTGGAAATCTGTCTGTTCAGTTGCCTGTATGCTGTCAAATCTGTTGAAGACTGTAGCTTCATCTCCCGTCTAATAGCCATGAGATTAATGTGTGATCGGAGAGTTTTTGTGTTCTTCTGCGGCGGGTTTTGCAGAACTTAGCTCCGACGGCATGGACAGTTTCCACGAGCTTGTCATTCATATGGTCCACTTCATTGCAGTCTTCTAGGCACTGAAAACGGTTTTGTAACTCGAGCTGAAAGGTTTCGGGACTTTGGAATAGAGCACGAGGGGGACGGAGCGTTGACTTCATTAGACCAGACCTCTCCAACTTAACGTTTAGGTTCAGTGTGGCTCTAACCATTCGGTGATCGCTACCAGTTTTTACCCTCGCGATTACGGAGACATCACTGAACAGTTGTCGTCATAATGAAGTCAATATCATTTTTTGTCGAACCGTCGGGGCTTCGACCAGGTCCACTTCCTGTGGGGCCGCTTCTGGAAGAAAGAGTTCATCATAAAGAGTCCCTCTTTCGCCATGAAGTCGGCCTTCGGCCTTTCGGCATGAGCTGCTGGCCCCTTGGGTTCCATTGCCCTATACCAAATTTCCCTATTTTCAGCTCACCGTTCTCTCTTGTGCCTAGTTTTGCATTGAAGTCTCACCGTATACTGGGCTTTGTGACTCCGACACCGTTTGGTGATTCCGAGTATAAGGTACGCAACCGTCGTCGACACACTCCCAATCTTTACAACGTTGTTAACAAGAGGCTTGTGAACGATAAATCCGACACCTCCTTGGGACAGATGGTCGTCCTCCCGGTGATGGAGCAAGTTGCCGGATTCGAGGATTACCATGTCCTCCCCCTCTCTTCGAACCTCGGATAATCCTATAATGTGCCTGCGTAACTTGTCTATCTCTTCTTCCAGCTTCACGATCTTCTCGTCAGTCCTCAGTACCATACGTTGTATGTTGCCAGGTCGAGTCGTCGTAGGTGGCAACCGAACCTCCACTGGAGATTCTTAGCACCCCCTGCCCCGCCGTTACCATGGCCGCCACCGTAGCCAGTAATAGCGGGGCGTGGGGTAGTGGATATTGTTAACGGCCACTACACGGCAAATTGCTATTAACAATTTCATTGGATGCAGTAGGATCGAATCTTCTGCTTGCGTTTACTGAAATTAATAGTGAACGCTGTAATAGTTCCTGAGGTACTTTAAGGGTGTCCCATAATAGTTTTTTTTTGTTATACTTATATTGAGTGTTTTAGAGCCTCTCAAAATATGTATTTTCTTTGCAGATCGTGGTGTGTTGTGAGCATTCCAGATATGAAAAACGTGTGCGCTGTACTGCCATCAGTTATAATATTATTTACTACGCGTTCATTTCGAGTTTGCCGTTGTCGACCGTTATGACGTCACAGCTGACGGTACCGTAAACAAAACTATCACTGTATAAGTGTTTTAATTGTAAGAAGTTCGATTTTTGTTTGTTGCCCTGTACAGAGAAATGGAGGGCAAGCAAGTAGATAAAATGCATATTATTGAATCATTTAGTTAGTTATTAAAGTAAGATGATAGAAAACAATAGAAACGTGTCCGATAAAATAAATATTTTTATTATAGTTTTATTTTACATGTTAACTGAATTATTTACGAAGGCGCGAACAAAAACTGGTAGGTAGTTTACGCATCCATAACTTCGATACCAGTTATTTTATCGAAATCGTTCATTTCTGTATCACTGTCATCGCTCCATTCTGACTTTAGCACAAATTAACGAACTTAAAAAGTCAACAAAACAGAAACAAAAAATCAACAGTAACAAACTATAGATCGCACGGTAGCACACACAATGAACTTAGATACATTTCAGCGTTGCTATCGATACTATAAGTGCGACGATTGAGGCGCAGTATAGGGAAACGCGGCGGGAGGTAACGGCATTCATGAAATGAAGACGTAGTACATACAATATTGAAAGTATTTTATTAACCTTTTTATTAATTAAATGTAATTTATTGGTTTAATGTTGGTTGTACTGACATGTTTTAAATAATAATTATAAAGATCTAATAAATTGTTTATTCGTTAGGTAATACGATATGTGACATGTAAGTGCCTTTATAACATTCTAGGATAGATATAATCGCCTTATTTTGCAGTGTAATAAAAATAATTAATGTAAGACTATTTATAATCTCTAAAATATGACTAATATTTTACAAAGTTCTATGTTTTTGTTCTTAACTGGAGATTTATTGTAAGGATATAGTAAAAATTTCGCTTCACCACAATACCTACCGTGGTTCCTTTATTGAAAATTTTAATTGTCAATTAAAACTCAAATTGTTATTACTTTGATTTAACTCGTAAAAATGTAGTTTTTATTTCATTTTCAAGCTACAATGTCGATAGTGTAGGTACAGTAAAGCCATCATATCTATTCTTATATTGTCTTAAATTATAATTCAAAATGGCGACCATTTTTTAACATGTTTCCAGTTCTGAGCTGTGTTCAGTTTCAAGTCTCATCAAGCTAATCAGGAAGTTAAAATTGATTGAAACTTTTTAACATACAAACTCTAGAACCTGCATTAAAAGTTAAGTTTTGCTTGTTGGGAAGTAACTTCGATGGGTTGTTAAATTTTTTTACTATTGTGAAATGTTGTGAATAGCTTAAGATATGGTTGTTAAATAAATTATGAAGAAGTGCCATGTAGTACGTAATTTTGAAGTAAATATGCAAGATATGAACAGTCTATGTACGAATTTAAATGAGACTGAAGTCATGATCCATGTCATACCAGATTCAATTATCGTTGATGGTCAGATTCTTAGAGTTGTTAAAGAATATATCTACCTCGGCCAAATTGTGTAGTTAGATAGAAACAACTTCGAGAAAGAAGCCGATAGGCGGATTCAGTTGGGCTGGGCAGCATTCGTGAAGATTCCACCAGTGCACCATGCCTGTACTCACATCTGGTGGCGAAACGTGGACACGATACGTTTATTCCACAAACCAAAGTTACCCAGTGGGCAATTTAGACCTTACGATTCGTAACAAAGAAATCCGCCGGAGAACAAAGGTTACCGGCGTAGCCTTCCGTGTTTGCAGGCTTATTATGATGTCAGATATTATAATAATCAATGTGTCTTTATATTAAAATATACAATACTTTTAACAATGTTCTAATGGAGATAATTAAATGGTGCTTTAATAAATTAATTAACACTATTTTGTATACAGTTTTATTTTTAATTTTTACCTATTATTTTAAACATTTTAACTAAAAGGGACTTGAATACATTTAAAGACGCCCTACACTTTTGTGCATTTTGTTTCCAGAATTAACTTTTAAGTAAAGGAATTAACCTAAATAATAACAGAATTAGTAATACTTAAATATCAGTACAATATATACTTATATGCGTGGGTTCTCTTACCACAAGTCACGTGACAGGGACATATCGAGTAGGTGGAATAACAAGGAAAAACAATCAGCTCAACAGTGTAATATATCTCACACAAAAACATATTTTTACACTTATGTATATACAATAACTTCATAAACTGCATAAAATTTTTACCTGAGAAGTAATCTCATTGCTAAGCATACTACTAAAATGGAATAAATTACAAAGCAAATTCCTACAAGATTCTAAAACGGTGATATATACATAGTGGCACGAGTCGTGAGCACAGCCTCGACTTGCGCAATTCGATTTATAGATCTCTTTGGTGAAAGTACAAGGGCGTGGGATGGATACGGTGAACTTTCTTTCACATGATTGGTCCGTTGGCTAATCGTCATAATTCATTAGATTTTCATGTGTCGCCTGCAGTAAGTACATTGGCTGGAAAATTTACATACGCTGTCTTGGTGCTCACAACTCGCGCTGCTATTTGTAAGTATAACGAGTTGATACTCGAAAATCTTACTAAAACTAATTTTCTTAATTATCCTTCTTCATCCTAGTATTGGTCATTCGGTAGATAATGGAATCCCTGCCGGGATCCATATCCATGATTGCGTACACAATAGCAACTAGTGTGAAAGTAAAAATTACACCGAACCATAGTATAATGTTGAAAATGGCCGCATAGTCCGCAGAGTAAGCGTCATCTTGAACTACCTGTAAAACAATAATTGATTTTAGTTAATTAGGTATTTTCTTTACAAAATATTACAATCTGAAAACTATTCGAAAATATAGCGAAAAATTATACTATACATTCATATAAAATATGAAATATAACCAACATATAATAGGAGCGATATAGAGAATATATATACGAATCCGCCATTCAACTACTGTCGTGAACCACTTTTAACACAAGCATTTTAAGCTTACCAGAAGTGGTTAGAGGAAATATTAGTGATGTTTAATAGCAATACTAGTTCTTTTTTTTTATTAAAAAAAAGCAAGAGACCCGCCCTGGCTTCGCCTTGGTACGATCTATATGTGGCGTTAGTTAGATTTAACGTAATCATCAAAGACCATTTTCTTTTTTACATATAATATATCAGCCTACATTCCTGGCATTGCTCTCTTTCCCTTTTTGAAGTATCATTACAAGCGGTTCAGCCATTCCCGAGAGACAGACAGAAATTTAAAAAATGATTACTCATTCAATAACCTCTACAGATAATAAAAGGCAGTTATTTCGGTATTAAAAACAGACACTTCCATTTTATTTACATTTTGTAGAATATTGAGCGTGTTGATTATTACGCTTAATATTGGGCTAACCAAGAAAATTTCAGACAGTGCTTGTTGCATGATTCTTTTAACAAACACTTGTTTACCATAGATGTTACAGACAGTGCCCTAAGCAAGGCTTGCATGAGAAAAGAAGAAACAGCAGCACATGTGCTGCTAATATATCCGTAGATCGCCACTTACAGTGCAAGATATTTTAACGTGCCAAGGTCCCTCCGCTTTAACTTCTTCTTTAATAAAGATACGTACGTGACGACGTGGACTTGCGTAAAATAGCGCATTGCAAACTAATTGAAAATATATTCTGTAAAATAGTACAAACCTCGTCTCTCATTTCGGGCGGATTGGGGGCAGCACGAACGGCACGGCGAGTGTGTGCTACATCTGTGGTCACCACTGTTACTAACACAGAGCCGTCGTAGGCTTTTTTGAAAGCGTTGCTTAGATCTTGCAGAGCTTCTCCTATAATAAACATGTTCAATTTTTTCATATAACTGTGACAGTTATGGATTTGCTACTTATTCACAGACTTCAAAAAGACGACATTATTTATTCGTCTATGCGTTCCTTTTTTAATGTATTAACACAATAACTTCATTCTTTTAAAATTGGCGACCAATTTTAAGAATATACTTTCACAAATTTTAGACCATTCTGATTGGTCAATTCAATTTTTTTTTAAACAAGATCACTTAGTTTTCATCCTCCTAATTTTATACAAAATGTTACCTAAATACCATCACGGAATATAAATATAGCTAGATTCTATATACACTTTCCAATTAGAGATATTTTTAAATATTTTTTTACATGGTAAAGCCATGTTGCAGCTATATTAGTAGTATAGTTGTAGCACGAATGCGTCAGCTCGACCGGGGAAGGATCACGCTCTCACAGAATACCAGCGTAAAATAGCAGCTTAACGCTGCTATGTATCGTATGGTGAGTGTAGAGAACTGGAGACCCTTTTTACTGGAAATGAGGCATTCCATCTTAGTCCTCACAGGTAACAACGCATCTGCATTCTGATTTGTAATAGAGGATACATGTAGATGTCTATGGGCCGCAGCAACCACTTACCATCTGATGGACTGTGTGCTCGTTTGTCACCCTATTCTATAAAAAAAATTAAAGTGGTGAAATTTGTCATCGATACTTTTATACAAAAAAATATTACAGTAATATTGTTGTATAGAAGTATGGACCTTTAATCTTCGAATAAGAATCAAATGGCAGTTGCATTGTCATGAAAACTAAGATAAGAAAGATAAGTCCATAGAGTTTCTCATCAAACGAAACAGCAGGATTGTGTTATTTCACATTGGTATTTTGTGTGAACCTAACACTACCCTGGGCAAGACAAGCAGACCCAGTTGTAATGCAGCCATAATAGGCTACAGCGTAGCTGTATCACTTAAAACATACTCACAAGTACTTTAAATATGTTCTTTAGAAAATCATATGCAAAAATATGCTAGGTTTGAATGTCATGTTAGAGACATTAGACAATCTCCACCAAAAAAGTTTTAGTACAAATATTGGCTTCAACTGCAATTAAAATCCAGAACCAATGACTCTGCAGGCAGACATAATCACTGAGCAAGTGTTTGTTCCTAAATTATGCGGTCTATTGACTATATGACTACTTGAAATGAAATAATGAACACTCAGTGACCTTGGTATGGGACGCTTAAATTACTACCTACCAGTTAGACAATATTACACCTAATAATCTTCACATCACGTCCGTTACCACATATTATCACATATTTGTCATAAGAGTTGATAACAAGACATTCCAGAGCAATAATATGGTTTCTAATAGATGTAAAATACTCAGAACATCGTTGGCAAAGTGTTAAGAGTATGAGTAGCCTGGTACTGAAATTGCCAATCCACCAGGCCAATGCCAAACAGCCAATATGGCAAATCCTCTCAATGTGAGAACAGTCCATGTCCAACAGCAGACCATTTACAGGTGATGAACATGAACAATATGTATACAGACCAACATAATCTCACAATCTAGCATCAAATTCGTACATCAAAGCAATCCTTTTTTAATCTATGTTACAAAATCTTCTTGGAAACCACACATTTTTCTTGGAACTCACACTTTAAAGTTTCTTTGGCTTGATTTGCTTTTCTGCCGACTTCCAAAAAGGAGACAGTACTCAATTCGAGTGTATGTTTTTTTTTATGTGTGTTACCACATAACTTTGTACTGGGGGAACCGATTTCGATGATTCTTCTTTTTATATGAAAGCTGATAGTTCTCGTGTAGTCCCATATGAATTTGATCAAGGTCAGACCAATGGTTATTGAGTTATTCTTAAATAACTTATATTGAAGTCGCTTATATTGAAGTCGGCTGTACAAAATTTTTAATTTTTAATTATAAATGTAACAATGTGACGTGAAATAATTATGAGCTTACCTAGAAGCTTTTTAGCCTCCTTTGTTTGTAAAGAGTTGGGTCCATGGTAATCAGACAAGGCATGGAGGGAGCGGAAACTGAAGACGTAAAAATCTACAATGTTGTCAGCGGAGATTGCTCCAGCTCTAACCTAAGAAGCAAAATATTCTTTATAAATTGGTGAACATATTGGGTGAGTAATTCATTTCATATAAAATCAGAATGCATTTGTTAATGCTATCAGCACCGTACACCATACAACATACACCTGAAATAAAGGTTTATCATAGTTGAAGGACCTATTATTCTGGACTTTTTTTATATGAAAGCTTTGTTTGAATACATTCTAGTTTATTGGAATAAAAAATGTAATTAAAAATAACCCCAGTGAACAATTTTTGTACAAGGGGTGGTGCAATACATCCCAATTTCGTTTTACGATAAGTCAAGAATGTCCCTAGCAGATATTTGAACGGCGTCGCGGCAAATCAGACGACACAATGAAAAACGTAAGCGCTTTATGCGAAACAGCACCAGAGTGGCTAAAACTTTCGAATCTCGTGTACGAGCGAATCGTATTTTCTCGTATCCGGAAAATTGGTTCGAGATGATAGTTAAATTTGTGAATCAATATTATAAAACAAAAATGTAGTTTTTATTAAAAATTTTCATGCATAATTGAGATAATGGGGCCTGCATCCTTGCCACACAGCTGCATTACCGATATTGGCAACGCGCAAGTAACATTTAACAGAATATCGCAATTGTTGTATGACTGACTACATAACGATATTTGATATTCCAGTCTCAATAGTGTTATTACCGCAGGCATGTAAAATCACCTGCATCTCAATACAAAATGTACTAACAGATATTGGAACATTGCAGGAGGCAAGAGCACTGGCATTCTACTTTCATCGAGTTATTGTTGCAGCAGCGTGTTAGATAAGCAAGTGTCCTAATACAAAATGTACTAATAACTATTATTGCAATAACGCAAGCAATATTATTGACAATCATTACAATTACTAAGTCAAATATTTTCAAGAGTCCCTAGAAATGTTTATTTCTTAACCAAAAATTTACCTTATTGATGAATGCTTTCAGTGCTTCTAATTCAGCCAGAAATTGGTAGTCCTCTTCAACACTGGGTTTCAAGTGCTGCAGTGATTGCTTGGAAACTTTGGCTGGTATTATTTCACCAAAAATACCAAAGTATGACTGAAACTAAAAATATGTGGATGTGCATTAGACATTATACAAAGAAGCATAATATTGGTAACTCGTAATAAAAATCTATAGATTTATTTATACCCGGTCGGACAAGAAAAATACCATACCTGATCATATGTGGATTCTGTATACTATATGAATAAGACTCTAAGAACAGTGTCACCTACCAGGTCCAATTATAAATTTAAACAATTCTCAAATCAACTTAATCACACACACAGAATTTTATCAAAATCGTAATAAGATCATACATAAAGAAAATATAAAAATATGAAACAGTTTAGTGTTAATAAAATAAATATATGTGTACTATTTTTAATTTAAAGTTACAAGGCTATAAAATAAAGTATATTACCTCCCCAGGCTCAGATAACTTAACATCTGTTACAATGTTGCCACCATTTGTAAAGCGCTGCTTAATTCTATGCTGCATAGCATCATATGTGTCAGGTTCATATTCATCTACTACAAGAGGGTAAGTTTTTGCTTTCAAACCAGCCTAAAACAAAAATGCTTTTAAAATCATAAACATTAAATTGATAAAAATTTAAGATTTCTAAAACAAATAGACATGTGTACTAAATTAGCAATCTATGAAATTGTCTTTCATTTTGAAATAAAATATGAATCAGTTTTAGAATAAAGACTGAACTTGGCTCGACTAATTGACTAAACTACAAAACCAACAATCAATTTGGAGGCTTAAGCTTTTATAAGTTTTTGTTTTAATTAGTCTATTACAAAAATATTATATTGCAGAAACAATAAGTTTTCAAGACATTAGTTTTTGATTTTATTTTTTACTTACAAATTTACTAGATTAAAACACACTTGTGGTGTATACATATTTATAATTTACATTATTTCTACTTATATTATCTAATCCACTATTAGTTATTTTTGTAAAACACAAAATATTATTATTTGAGAAGACAGACACAGAGGTACTTTATAATGAACAACTGAAAGATGCAACTGTATTTTGTCTGATAAATGTTTAATATCAATTATAACATCCCTTTTATATATAGGTCTCACGATTCTAGTTTTCAATTCGTCTGGATATTTATTAGTCTTTACACAAGCGTTGACCAATTTTGCAATAGCCGGAGCAATTTCTTCGCAAATTTGCTTTATATCTATCGCCCATATTTTGTCGAAACCCAGAGCTTTATTAACATTTGATGTTTTTATAATTTTAAGGATGTCTTTAGGTGTTGCTTTTCGAAAATTAATTGTTACGTTCACAGGTTGTCTGTATTCTATTTTATCTAAAATATTATTTTTACATTGAGGTATTATATTTTGAACACCACGTTTTTTACGTGGTAGAGCCATGCTGCAGCTATATTAGTAGTATATTTGTAGCACGAATGGGTCGGCTCGACCGGGGAAGGACCACGCTCTCACAGAATACCAGCGTCAAATAGCAGCCCAACACTGCTGTGTTTCATATGGTGAGTGTAGAGAACGGGAGACCCTTTTTACTGGAAACGAGGCATTCCATCTTAGTCCTCACGGGTGGCAACGCATCTGCATTTTGATTCGCAAACGAGGATAAATGTAGATGTCTATGGGCCACAACAACCACTTACCATCAGGTGGACTGTGTGCTCGTTAGTCACCCTATACTAAAAAAAAAAAAAACTATGAAATTTATTCGCAAAGTTATTTGCAATAATGCTTTCATTTTTGTTTTTGCCTTTTAGGAGAACTGTATCTACTGTTTTACGTACCATACCTGTTATTCTATTTAGAATAAACCAGAGATGTTTTAAATTATCTTTATATTTATTAATTTCATAATAGATGTATTTATGTTTGGAAGATCTGATTAACTTGTTTGCATAGTTTCGCGCTTTATTATATTGTGTTTTTAATATTTTATTATTATTATCTTTGATCCATTGGAATAATGTTATAAAAGCTTATCCATTTATTTTCGGTATGTTTTTTATTGGTGTTTTTAATTTTTAAATGAATTTTTGCATCGTTGTAGCATTCATTTATATTTTTATATATATATTATAGTATATTATCTGGACCAACCATGTCATTAACTTCCTTCCAGTTAATAAATTATTTAAGGAATATTTTAATCTTTCATTGTTATATATATTTTTATAAGTAGTTTCACCCTGTGTATGAGTAAGAGTAATGAGTTTGTCCCACACAGGCAAGCACTACCGCCTGGTGGTCCGCCAGCATAATTCCAAGTGCTGCGTTATAAACAACAACAACAGTGATCTCGCGTACAAATGGTCAATACATGTTTTAGTTATTCTATCGTCAGTTAATTCAATTCTAGTGTACTCTGTAATCCCGCAAGTAAGGCCGTAGTTATGAAGCATGCAGTTATATTTATGTATTATAGGAGAATAGGTTTTTAAGTCTATGTTCATATCTCCGAGTATAAATAGTTCGCACTTTGTGTCCAGACTACCAATTAATGTGTGAAGTTCGTCGATAAATAAGTGTTTACTTAGATTAGGAAGGCGACAAATTGCACATACAGTTGCCGCATAAATATATGGAGTGCTAATTTGAAATAGTATATGTTCAAAATGTTTTGTTGTTACGTTACTTATTCTTGTTAACTTATTTTGCTTGTGTATATATGCTATAATACCGCCACCCCTTCGGTTTTTACGCAGCACTGTGTGCATTTGATAGTCCGGCAGGTGATACATGTAGCTTAGGGAGTCAGGTATATTAGCTTCCGTTACCAATGTAATATCTATAGATGCGTTAGATTCGTACACACACTGTTCCAATGCATCAAAGTTTTTAATCAAATACCTTATATTTATGTGCATGCATAAAAGGTTAATTTGGCAAATTTTAACAGGAATATGTTTTAGAAATGAATTAATGTTAGTGCAATTACTCAATTCACAAATATCGTCTAACTGTATGTCAATTTAAATAATATTTTAATATATTTTATGTGAATGGTAGTACCTATATAAAATAAATTATTGCGGCTGTACATGGACTTCCTTTTTTAGCAAAGCTTTAATGTCATCATCAGTTCTAATAATTATTGATTGATCTTTTTCACTTTTTCTTGCTCTAATGACTCCTTTTTTGCACCACACATATTTGTATAATCCACTATTCTCAAGTTGTCTTCTGGCATTTCCAAGTAAGGTCTTATTGTATGCAGTTAATGAGTCACTAATATAGATGATTTCTTTACCAATCAATGGTGATGAGCTAGGAAAGATATCATGTACCATAATCTTCGTATTCTTTGCTTTTGTAAGCCAATTAGTTTTAACAGTTTCTGACGGTAGAACCACATGTAGTCCGGAGTTATTTTTATTATAACCAGAACGCTTTACTTCTATGATATTTTTAGTTAAGTCTAGTGTTTGTTGTGTTTTTTGTACGACTTTTGAAAGTTCTTCGTTGTCAGTGAAGGGAATATTAAACATATCAATAGTTTTACTAAGCTGTTGCTGCTCTTGTTCCTGTAATCGCTGTTCTAATGCACTTAATCTAAATTCTAAATTTTTATTTTGTTTAGATAATTCGATGTTCTTCTTTTTCATTTCTTTGACTGTAGTTTTAAACGCATCTATGGTTTCGAGTATATCATCAAGTTTTCTAGAATTGAATTCCAAAGACTCCGCAAACTGGCCCAATTGACGTTGAATAGCATTCTCCACTTTTGTTATTTCTAGCATCAGTTTTTTACCATCTAATGGAACAGAGGCAGAGGTTATATATAGGCGATCCAAATGCTTCATCATCTTCTTCATCATCCAGTATTACAATCGAAGTTTGTCTAGACGAGGTGTTTTTGCATTCAGAACATGACCAATCTAGGTTTTCATTTGCACGAAGCGCATTTCTTTGTTTGGTAGTAAGCCCTGAGCATTCAGTGTTCAAATGCACCATCTTCTCACAACAATGACACTCCACTCCAGGACGAGTTTTTGTAATATTTTTGTTGCATTTTTCACACTTTGACATAATGCTATTTGACATAAAATTATTTTCTGCAACCGAACGTCCGATTGACACGAGCTACCGGAAACGAATAAACGCTTTTGGAATTAATAGAAACGAAGAATGGGGTGAATACAAACATATTTTTTAGGGTTGTCAAAACCTTTTTGCATCATATATTTACTATATAAATTAATTTAAGTAGATAATTGAAACTAAAATTTAAAAAAAAGCATTTAAACCATATTAAAGGTATTTAAAAGTCTTCTATTATAAATGTTAAATTTTGATATTTGTTATACATTAAAATTCCAAATACTTGAGGTTTTACCATTACACCAGATAGAAGTTCCTGCAGTGAATATACTTAGTGTGCTCATATGATTTCGTTAGTTTTGACAGCGCCGTGGCACAGTGGCTTAGCAATCAGTTGTTGCGCTGGGGGCCGCAGGTTCGAATCCCACACGGAACAAGTATTTAAGCGTCAGTAGCCTAATGGCAGGGCACGGACCGCGAACTCGAAAGGTCGTGGGTTCGAATCCGCCATTCGACTACTGTCGTGAACCACTTCTAGAGCATTTTAAGCTTACCAGAAGTGGTTAAAGGGAATATTAGTAATGTTTAATAAGATTACTAGTATTTAAAAAAAAAAGAAAAAAAAACAATTTCAAAACATTATACCATGATTTAATAAATATGTTATAAGGAATAACTAAGCAAAAAATACAATGAATCTGCATTTATCATAAAAATTTATGACAACACAAATATAAACACTAATTGTATTGTAAAATCAATACTTCTATTTTGATTTCCCTCACACTTTTACATAGTAGGAGTATCCTACCAGGATGATTAAATTGGAAATGGTTACCAGTGTATAATACATGTTTTTTTTTTATATATTACCTACTGGGTTCCACACACCCCCTTCACAGGGCAGATTCACACTAATCCTAGCTACATATTTTCTCCTATACTAAGAGAAACCTCAAAATTGATTGTAGGTTACTTTATTCTAATAAATTATAATAAAAAGATAAGTTTAATAATGTGTAATAAATTACTAATTCCTCATTTATAGTTTCTTGTAAAACGTTAATGATATCACATAAGAAATAATGTCAAGAACTTACGGCACTTCCAAGGCTAGATACACCTTCTATATAAACTTCTACAATTGCTTCTGGTGTGTTAAATGGATCCACAATTGATAATCCATTCCAATCAGAGTTCTGTAATTTATTTTTTAACATCACTTTTTACGTTGAGATTTTATGGTAAGTATAGTGAAATATAATAAAAGATTATAAAAGACTAATGTTAATAGATTTTACAGCAAAATTTTTGTCATAAGATCGATAAGAAAATTGTTATCGACAAGAGTCAATTTTAAATAATTTGTTACAGATATACCTCTTCAACGGATAGGCCAAAAGATGCTGAGAATATTTCTTTCAGCAGACTCTCCAAAACTTTGGCAGATCCCGAAAATTTTAAGGAATCTGGGCTATGCAGAACACTTAACTCCCCAGCGGCATTGGATCCTTTAACAACAAATAATGATTAATAGCACAGTTTATATATACTTCAATATTTAAAAGTAGTCTTACCAATTATTGATAATACAAGGGATAAGCAGAAAAGAGCCACTGTTGCACCCATGTTTCCCGATTCCAGACGAATGACTGACATCTTTAAAAATATACTCTATGGACTGTCATATGATTAAATTCCGTAGACAATGAGAGCTAATGATCTTCCTTACACCAGATGTCGCTAGCTGACACCAAGGTAAAGTTTTTTGTTACACAATGTCATTGCGCGTTTTCCATTTACCTACACGGCGACGATGACGGCAACGGTGACGGCAACAGCACGGCTGCCGGGGAAGCAAAAGTGTATAAAATACATATATAGCATGTTTTTCGACTTACTGGCGCTGGCGGAGGCACGGAGATACGCTCACCGGTGCCGTCGCCGGTGCCGTGACAGCAAGTTTCCAACAAAACTACACGTGTAAAAGGGACACGTTAAGATTGAGACTCGAAATTGATTTGCGAAATGATAAAATGTCTCCTCGTTCATGCGGGAGTAGTTGAAATATTTTTTACAGTCCATTTCCAAGTTTATATATATATATCACATAAACCCTATACAATGTAGCAGGTAGCTCTACATGCGTTTAGAACCGTCGCAAAAGGGTCATATTCAAACAGCCATAACTCTGGAGTTATGCAATTAAGAACAATAATTTTAATGTCTATTTGTAAGTAATATCCTTAAATATTAGGACAGTATTAAAAAATTCAGTATCAATATGCTAGTTTTTGAAGTATGTTAAGAAAAATAAAAAAACAGTTAATTTTTTTATACATATGTAGGACATTTCTGTCCAGAGAAATATACATCTTTTGGCAAAGGTATCTACAAGAATTAAAAAAAATTAAATGGCGGCCATTCCAACAGGAGGGGCGGGGTGTAGAGATATATGGGTGTTTTTGTCGATGAAATTAGGTATATTTTGTAACCTTAAATTATCGCTAGGTCGAGACCGGACACACTGTATATTTATATATAGGCTGTCCCAGTAATGGTGGATAATCTGGTACGTCTGTGTTCGGGCGGGGGAAGAAAGAAACTAATTATACAGAAAGAAATATTAAACTTTACAGTTTTTGAACAAATTAAATTTCCCGCTATGAAATCTATCGTATATTAACCCCATTTTTAAATGGCGCCACCCTGGTGGCAGCAATAGTCGTCGATGCCCCCATTCTCCATCGACGAATGAAGGAGTATAAAATCCTTGGACAAATTATGAAAATGGACTTAGTCATAATACGATGCCACTCTTATATTATTTGTGTTTCTAATTTTGTTTTATATCCTATTTTTATTAATATGGGGGTATTAATTAAAATCTATACAAATAAATAAAATTGAAGTGTCTGTTTGTAATGTCAAAATTACAGTTTATTACTAAATGCATATGAAAGTAAATACGGTACCTATAACTAAAATACAATTTTTAAAATTTTTGTCTGTCTGTCTGTCTGTCTGTTTGTTCCGGGTAATCTCCGAAACGGCTGGATCGATTTTGACGGGACTTTCACTGGCAGATAGCTGATTTCATAAGGAGTAACTTAGGCTACTTTCATTTTAGAAAAAGAATTAGGGTTCCGCGTAAAAACATAAAAACCCTAACACGCGAACGAAGTCGCGGGGAACAGCTAGTAGAAAATAAGTTATTAATTTCAAATTTTTTTAATAAAATTATTTTTAATAAAAAAGAAAATAAGAAATTAATAGATGCAATTGATTAAGTTAAATAATATTTTAAAGCAGCGTCTGATGATAAAAGATTTTTAGAATTGGAAATTAGGGGGATAAATCTTAATAAATTGATTTCTAATCCAATTCAACATCCTAATCAAGAATTAGCTGAAATAGAAATTAAGGTTCTAAAAAAAAGAATAAAATAAAAAAATATTTTATTTGAATTTAAATTAAAAAAGATCTAAAATAGGGGGTTAGTTTTGTATTTTATATAAGGTTTTTATATAGGATTTCATTTTCGCCATTTTGGCGTTGACAGCAGAAGTGAACGTCCAAGGAACTAATAATAGAGATAAGACAGTATGACAAAACATATCGAGAAAAATTCAAATAAAAATACCCAGGCCTAACCGTAAAGTCCATTCTATTTATGGATCATATTAATATAATGCCATACAATTAATATGTAAATGTATCAATTAATACTTAGGCCTTAGATGCAAGCTTTATACCTCATATAAAACCAAGATCGACGCTGCGTTAGTCTATCTACGTTTTTATTCGTAACTACAGAACAGATTTTGTTCCGGGTTTTAAATGAGGAAATTCCTATGCATACCCGCTTCGCGGGGGCAAAACAGATTATATCGCACTCGCACCTACTAAAACCCCATGCTGTTCCATTTTCGCCGCATTGGCAGGGCTACGGAAACGCTTTCAAACACATCCGCAGTCCCATCAGCGCCAGTCGCCCAATAGCAGCCCCTTCTTAGTTGAAGACTTCTCTTCCCCCTTTCCTTCTCAGATAATGCACACTAGGAACACAAGGCACACTTCCCTACGCGGCCTACAACTCCACTTCTCACCCTCGTTAGCTGAGTGGCCGCGGCTGGGGTACCGCCGTCCCCCCTTTGATAGAGGCAGCCCTAGCTAGCTGCCGCCCTAGCTCCCACCGCAGCCGCCTCCACTGAGTCTTTGAGGCGTCAACAGTCCACTTGTCAAACTGTTCTGTTGCCGACGGCCTCAGTGAAGGCGTACAACCCGAGTGGCGACTGTTAGCCGCTCGCGCTGTATTGGATTCGGGTTCACAATGCTGTGTGGCCTCCACTAGGTTGGTGGGAAGATTAGGGCTCCTCAGGTGCGTTGAATTACGCTGTTAAGGACTATTAGATTTGGTTTGGTCGAGCACTTAATTAATAATGCTTTAAATTAAAATAAAAATGCTTTGGGTTTTCCGCGAAATGTTTCATAGTGTAGCAGTTATTACTAGAAAATAAGTAATAATGATGTGCTTTTTGAATGCATGTGCATATGTTTTGTAAACATATTTGATCATTGTGTTTGCTTTGTTGAAAAGAAAATTGAAATCGAATAACCCTATTTGTGCCAAAAGGAATAAGATTCATTCCTCCCTTTGTTTTCACATTTTTGTTGGCACTGTCGAAGATATTTATTTGGAAGGAGAAATAGGGCTGTCTCTTACGTTTATCGTTTTGTTTAATTTGTCTGTTTGATCTATGCGCATCGGTAAATTAATTTGTTTGAATTAATTAAGTAGTTGAACATTGATGCTTTTGAAATTTGGTTGAAGTGTGCGCATAGGACTACATGTCTGAAAGGGCTCTAGCTAGTTGTGAGATTATCGGATTGAAATCAGCTGCCGCACAATTGAGTAAATGATTATATGGTTGATGGCTTGGTTATGCCTACTTGTTTAAAAAATCATACTAAGGACTATCTGTGCGTTTCGTGTTGCCTCTCCACAGACGCCGTTCATGTGGAATTTGTGGGTGCACTCTGCACTGAAGCTTAGGTGGCCACGCTGGGCCGCTTCGTTCGTTTCGTTCGGCCGTCGTGCTGGTTCGCGTCGCTGTTTGCAGACCTGATCCGGTCGGATTGCGGAACTAATCTTAGGGGCACAGATAGGTGTTTGAAAGAGGTCGTCGGACTTCTGTCCAGTAATAGGGCTTATTTAGGTGCTGCGATGTCCAGGAAGGGCATCCAGTGGAGGTTCGACCCTCCGGCTTGCCCACGTTGGGGCTGTATTTTTGAGGCGATGGTTAAGGTTGCAAGATCTGGTGGGGTGTCTAAGGTAGCCTAGGTTGTAGATTCGGTCTTGCAACGTGTCGTCGCGACCCTGTCCCGCTTGCCGGTTTACTCGCGGACATAAGTCCTTATGTCCGGGACGGGGGTTTGTTTAGGCCCAAAAATGGTCATGTTAGACGACATCTAATCGCCTTCGGCTTGGCGAATCACCCGATGGTGTCGAGGTGAGGTAACGTCGACGGCGGGGGGGGGGGCGGCCGCGTGCCGCTGGCAGTCGCTCGACGCGCGAGCAGAACAGTAACTTTAGGGCCGCGGCGCCGTCGCAACGTAACTAATTTGTAGTGACCGTGGCAGCGATTTCGTGCGACCAGTTTTTGTTTTATGGTCTAGATTTTCAGTATTCGTGCGCGTTACTTCGCTACTTAAATTGTGTAAATGAAGACCGCCTCGGATTAGGTGGTATATTGATTGCTGTGAGTCGAATCGAGCCGCGTGGTTGCCTCTGATAGTGCCGATTTTGCTAACGGATTTGTGCAACGACGAGGAATTGTGTAGTCTAGAACATAAGACGCCGGTTTGACTAATTGTTAAGAAGTTAATGTTTAATTGTACCGTTGCGTTAAGTGCCTTAAAAGGTCGCGTTCGGTTTTCGAAATATTTTGTTGCGGAGTGAACGGAAATGAACTTTGACCCACCTTTACCAGTCGTGTCGCGTGTTACGTTTTTAATTATAATTAACGGGATTTAGTTTCGTTTTGAAGTTAGTTAAATGTACAATAAAGTTGATAGACTGACATAGTGAATTGAAGAAAGAAATTGTCCATTGCTGCTGCCACTGGAGAATACCACGCCGGGATCGCCGAGTCAGGGTTGCTGCTGATTAAAAAGGGCTAATTCGGGTTAAACATACATACACCTCTCACACACTACTTACATTCACTACACCTGACGCCTGAACGAGCCTTGTGACCCTTCTTCGCCTCTGAACAGGTACGTACTATTTATTTAGCTAGTTTATCTATATCGTGTAGGTCAACTCTCCATAAGGCCATTTGAGCCCGTCCTTAGTTATCCGTCGAGTCTACAGCTGTATGGGCCCCTGTATAGTCGACCTTTGTCGGGACAGCTAAGGGACACGCCCTTAGCTGTCCCGACAAAGGTCGTACATATATTTTTTTTTATAGGAGAGGGGGCAAACGGTCATGCGGCTCACCTGATGGTAAGCGACTACTGCCGCCCATGAACAACTGCAACACCAGGGGAATCGCAGATGCGTTGCCGGCCTTTTAAAAAGGAGTAGGCTCTTTTCTTGAATGTCCCTAAGTCGTATCGGTCCGGAA